TTCGTAGGTGTGTACTATAATTTTGCCCATTTCTTTGCTCACATAAGACACCCCATAATGAAACTAATAATGCTTTACTTACTTTTCTAGCTATTCCACCTTCTTTCTTAATATTATATAATATATTTCCCTATTTACCAAACATGTCTCTTCCACTAATACGAGTATTTTTTTCATACATAAGTGCATTTGGTAATTCATTTATTAAATATACTTTCAATTCATTTTTTTTAGCACATTCTAAATCATAATGTGTATAAATTCCATATGGATTATATCGCAAATATCTTGTATATTGAAGGCTTTTCTTTGGAAGATTTCCTTCTATTGTTGCTTTATAAATTCCATATAGAAATTTACCCCATTTTTCAGCAAAAGTTGAACTTATTGTATGAAATTTACCTTGTGCAAAAGGCCATGATGCCTCTTTCTTTAACATTTCATATATATACATTGAGTTTATATCATATTGAATAGCTTCTCCTTCATATCTTTCAGCAAATACTAAAGCACCTGTTGATGCTAAATTTAACCAAGCATTTTCTTTTTCATTTACTTTTTCGCTTCTTTTTGATACTAAAGTAGTTTTTTTAAAAAGGTTTAAACTTGTTAATGTATAACTTCCAGATTTTTGCATATCAACTTGTCCATTTGTTTTTTCTGCTATAGTTTCTGATTCTTTGATAATTCTTTTATAGGCTTCTATAGTTGTTTCTTTTAAATCTGATTTAATAAAATAGTGCTTGTTAGATAAAGCACAGAAATCTTCTTTAACACCATACTATTTTCTTTTTTCATTATAAAACTCAAACCCATTTGCTATATTTTTATGAATTAAGATAGTTTTATTGCGAAACAATGAGGCTCTGCCACTATCTTGGTAGTTTATAATATTTTGCTTTAAAGTAGATCCTATCCCGGGGTCGACTGCCAGCGTGTTTGCCTCTCTTGGCTGGGTTGGTTGGTGCGTCGATGAGTTTTCATCGAACAAAATGAGGTCGCTTTTGGGAATGGATGCTGGGGTTTGGTTTTGCATCGAAATTAGATTTTCAGCTGGTGTCGCATTTTGCACCGGTGTTGGGTTTTTAGCTGGATTTCCTACTGGAACTGGGTTTTGCATTATAAGCAAAGCTGGTTGGCATTGTCCTTTACAAAGGTTTCCATTTAAATTCATATGTTTATTAAGATCTTGAGTTTTATCAGTTCTTATTTCTCGATCACAACCTGGACATTTAAGTATCTTAGCTATAGTAATATGTTTTTTCAGTGTTTTTTATTAATATACCAGATTTTTTGTTTAAATAAAAAATAATTATTCATTTATTGAAATGTTTAGTGAATATATTGAGGGAGGTAAATATATCGAAAAGTCAGGGGGTAAATATACATGCAAATATATACACAATTCTGGAGAAGTCTGCGGACGTGGGTGTCGATGTCCTGAAAGGTGCCATGAACATTGGAGATCTAAAAAACGTGTTTTATGTAATGATTGTGGAAAATATACAGCTTCTGCTTGTGGACATTGCAAAAAACATTCTAAAGAATATTATGTCATGCAATTTTATACTTGACAACTTTAGATGCTTGAAGACCACCCATAACTCTTCGAGTTATCCTTTGAGCCTGCAAGACAATAAAATTTAACTATATTTTTTACTATAGAAACCTAATTGATAACTAAAAGATTACTATGCTCTGCTTCGCTTCGCAACTGCGTCACTCACACCTAAGGTGTATACTCCTTAGTGTTAAGAAACTAATTGTGAATTAAACAAATAACTAATGCTATGCTATACTTCGCATTCGGAGTCGCTATGCTCCTCCAGTACAAAAAACTAAATAGAAATCAAATATAATAACTATACTCCGCTTCACTCCGCAACTACATCGTACACCCTTAGGGAGTGTACTCCTTAGTAATAGAAAGCTAAATAGTAATCGAAATAGATATTGAAAAAGTACACCAAGCATGAAGTATATATAAAAATATACCATTCATGTAAGTTTTTTATATATTATATATAAGTTATATAAGTTATCAAGAATATGATAAAAACTTAAAAAAAAACAAGAATGAATAGTGTTATCAAAAAAAACACAACCGTGTATCTAAAAAGTCCACTATTCTATTGCTAAGGACAAAGCATTTGAATAGTATTTGAAATATACTAAAGAAAGTAATTCGAATAGACAATTATACAAGTAGATTCTTGAATATTTCAAAACTTTCTAAACTAGATAATAGCACTTATATTTTTTTAAAAAGAAATTTTAGATATCTCTAGCTAGAAATGCCTAGCTTATATATCTCTGGCTCTTTAACTAATCAATGAACGAAAAAATCATATAACTAAGACTCATGTATATATTCCGATTGCTGATACAAGGTCAAATAACATTATCAAGCTATTACCGAATACTGCTAGATAAGTAACACAAGATCATTTTTGTTTGTTTGTTGATTTTGGCTAATTTTTTTTTCTTTAGATAAGATTAATTTCGCTATGATATTGTTGAAATCATTATTAATAAAGTTATCGTTAATAAAGTCATTATTAATAGAGTTATTGTTAATAGAGTTATTATTAATAGAGTCATTATTACTAGAATTATTATTACTAAAGTCATTATAGGTGCTATATTATTATTATAGATAGGTTGCCTTTGGATTTTTTAATTTTTTTCTAGTTTCACTAGTATTTTTTTCTTGTTATTATATTTCTACTTTTCACATAGTCTTTGTTTGGTTTTAGTTTCATGCTATTGTTATAGTAAATAGATATCATATTGTGTTATCTTGAGATAGATTTCATTGTTTTCATGTTGCTAATATTTTTTTTGCTATTGCATATCTAACTTCTTTTTTTTTCTCTATGATTATAGTTTTAGTTTTGTGCTATCTATTTTGATGCTACAATTATAGTAAATGACATGTTGCATTATTTGTATTGTTTTGGAATAAATTTCATTGTTCTTGTACTGCTAGTGTTTTTTTTACTTTGCTGTTGCATGTCTAATTTTTACTTTTCTTTCTATAGTAGAGTATAGTTTAATAGCAAGTGAAAAAGTATATTCAAATCTGTAACACTACAATATATATTGTAGCATTAGTATTTCTTATCGTTATTGCTTTAATATTACAATTAATTCTTTTTTTTTTTATTATTGTCCTTTGGAATTAAACTAACCAAATATTAGATATTCTTTAGAGCTATTAATAGCTTATTTTAAAGCTAGTTTTAGCTACACAATAAAGTGAAGCTCTGATATTGTAGCTTTTAACTATAACTTAGTATTAGCTATAACTGAATCTAGATTAACTCATAATTATTGAAACTATAACTTGTATTATAGCTAAAATATAACTTGGTCATGGCTCAAGTTGTAATAAATAATATTGGTAAGCTTTGCATTAAAATACTATTACATTGCTACAATAATAATAATTTTAAAGCAATATAGTATTTAAAGAAGCTATACAAGTGTTAATAGCTTTAAAAATCTTTAATAAGTTGAAGTTGGTCTATGAAACTCTTTGTCATATAATATTAGGTTTTTATATAATATTTTTTCTTATTTAATTAATTAATATATATATTAATTAATTTCTTTTTTTAATTTTTATTTATATGATTTAAGGTTTTCTTAAGCATTATTATAGATTAGAACTTAAAAGTAGTTTAACTAATAAGTAGATTCATTATTGTAATAAAAAAACTATCTTTTTTTGTCAGACTTTAGCAAAATTACAGTAGAGATTGCTTCATTTACAGAATTAATCATAGTACTTTATGCATGTTCTCAATATCTATTCAATTACATTAAGAGCATCTTTAATTTAAGTTAAGTGATTATTCATTAGTCTAATTAGTTTAAGTATTTAATATAAGCTATTAATATCTCATTTAGCTTTTTATTTATGTAATTATCATCTGCCAAAGACATTTCTAAATTATACAAATTGTTATAAACAGTATAGTATAAGGTGTGAAATACTCTATATTTAATATCTGTTTTAGCATTATATATTATTAAGGTTAGTATTAAAAAATTGTAGTAAATTGTTATAATTTGTTTTTTAAAGAGATATTTTACACTTTATACTAATATATAAAATTTTTTGTTTGTTTAAATTGTGTGTCTTATATTAATATAGTTATACTGTATTCAGTTGTATACTCAATATTTATTTATCTGAATTCAAAATTATAACTTATATAACTCTTAATAAAGCTGGGTTAGGGTCTCATAGCCTAGTAGTCTGGGTGCCTAACTCTCCACAGACAAGGTCAACGGTTCAATTATAGCTAGTAGTAATTAATTTAATTAATTATCTTTGTAATTTTCGAGAGTTTTTAAATGCAAAACTTTGTAGTAGTAAGACTATCTAATATATATATTTGGCCAATAAAGAATTCTTGGAGAGAGCCCCGAGCCATGGAGAAGACTGTATACTATATATAATATAGATTACAGAAATTAATACTGCAGAAGGCTGTGCGTATAAATTTATAATTAGCAAAATAGCACCAACAACCCTAAGGTAGCATTGGGATTTTGATTGGAAGGATGGCTGAATGTAGTATATTCATAAGTGGTAAGAGAAGCGGTGAATATAGTAAAAAGCTGTGGTAAGAAAATGGCTTTACCAAATATAGAACACCTCTGGCACGAGGAAACAAGGAAAACTAGCTAAAAGAAACTCTAAAAAATATAGAAGCAAGCAATCTGGTAATACGAAAATAAAGACAGGCTAGGGAGTAATAGTCACACAATCTATATAGGAGTCTATGATGAAACATGGCAGAGACACGGGTACTGGATTACTGATTGTAATAGTAATTAAATGAGGTACTTAACTCTCGTTCTAAGAATCTAAATCCCTATATTATCATACCAATAGAGAGTACTATAAAAGGATTAGTAGCCTAATTTGGTAGTGTATAACATTAACGCTTAAAGATCATAAAATAACATTCTGGTTGTGGCAGCAGGTCCCGTACCTGGCTTGAGATATGAACTAGGCCCTTAGAGTAACATTCTAAAAACACCAAACTAGAAGCATCAAGAGCATCTACTCGAGAGACACCAATTTGGAAGTGATACAAGAAGTGAATTAGGAGTAATGTGATAAGTAATGAGGGGTAGAAGTTAGCTAGTAAACATTGTACAGTAGTATATAAGTGGGATATATATGATAAAATAGATTTGGGAACTATCTGGTGAGTTTGAAAACTGGCCTGTTGCGAGATAGTTGATAAGGAGATAAAATCTCATATAGTATGTCACATATAGGTACTAAGTTAGTAACTAGATGAGTCTTATCTGTAATAAATTAGATAGTTGTAAATATATGTATATATATTTGTAACCACAATAGCTTAGAGTACTAATAAACAGTTAAGGGAGTCATTTAAAGCGGAGCAGAATCACGTGACACTCGTGATAATTGGCCAAAATCGAAAGGCGATGATTGGTCATAAAAAATGTCTATTTTGAAGTTTTTTTTAAATTTTGAACGAAGATATCTTGGCAACTAACTAATAAAATTCGCTAAATTTTTTATTCTTATTCTACTGAGTAATAGGATTAATATAAAAAAAAATTTTACCAAATTTTGTTAAGTAGTTGCTGAGATATCTTTGTTGCTATGCCGAAACTATTTGAATTTTGAACGAAGATATATCTGCAACTACCTAGTGAATTCAATGGAATTCTTTTTTATTTTAATTCTACGAATTCATAGAATCAAAATAAAAAAAAAATACCAAAATTTACTAGGTGGTTGCAGAGATATCTTCGTTCAAAGGTTTAAACCCTAACTAATTGAAGTTGCGCCGAAACTATTTGAATTTTGAACAAAGATATCTCTGCAACCACCTAGTAGAATTCGATGAAATTTTTTTATATCGATTTTACGAATACTCAGAATTAAAATAAAAAAATTTCATTGAATTCTACTAGGTGGTTACAGAGGTATCTTCATTCAAAATTCAAATAGTTTCGGCACAGCTTCAATTTAGCTAGAGTTTAAAACTTTGAACGAAGATATCTCTGTATCCACCTAGTAGAATTTGATGAAATTTTTTTTATTTTAATTCTACAAATTTATAGAATTAAAATAAAAAAAATTTTATCGAATTCTACTATGTGGTTACAGAAATATCTTCATTCAAAGTTTTAAATGCTTAACTAAATTAAAGTTGTGCCGAAACTATTTGAATTTTGAACAAAGATATCTCTGCAACCACCTAGTAGAAATTGATGAAAATTTTTTTATTTTAATTCTACAAATTTGTAGAATTAAAATAAAAAAAAATTTCATCAGATTCTACTAGGTGGTTGCAGAGATATCTTTGTTCAAAGTTGTAAACACCTAACTAATTTGAAGCTGTGCCAAAACAATTTAAATTTTGAACGAAGATATCTCTGTAACCACCTAGTAGAAATTGATAGAAATTTTTTTATTTTAATTCTGCAAATTCGTAGAATTAAAATAAAAAAATTTCATCAAATTCTACTAAGTGTTACAGAGATATCTTCGTTCAAAGTTTTAAATGCCTAACTAAATTGAAGCTGTGCCAAAACTATTTGAATTTTGAACAAAGGTATCTCTGCAACCACATAGTAGAATTCAATAAAAATTTTTTTATTTTAATTCTACAAATTTGTAGAATCAAAATAAAATAAATTTTATCAAATTCTACTAGGTGGTTGCAGAGATATCTTCGTTCAAAGTTTTAAACGCCGCACTGAAACGATTTGAATCTTGAATGAAGATATCTCTGCAACTATATAGTAGAATTCGATAGAAATTTTTTTATTTTAATTCTACAAATTTGT